ATCTTCCGAGCGCCGAGCCCTATCTACTACATTTCCCCCTCCCCATGCATAACTAAATTAACTAAAATATAACAATCGTAAAAAAAAATTTGTGATTTTAGGGTTAATATATGTTTACTCTTATTTTAGATATCTGTTAGTAGTCTATACATTATAATAGTCTTGGAGATTACAGATAACTATAATAGTCTTGGAGATTACAGATAACTATAATAGTCTTGGAGATTACAGATAACATAAGGCACAGTAATAAGTTGAATGTGGGTTAGTAGATGCAAACTCAAAGCAGCTGCCAGCATTCCACCAACATAATGTTAATTGTTTCCAGCCGGTTCTTAATGAACGATGCGAGCTTATTCAGTATACAAGGCCCGAAGATCAGTGCTAGGACTATGATTCAAACAAACCTTGTTGGGCTTTTCTGGGTTTTTTTTGGTTTTTTTTGTTTTTTTTTTTGGTTTTTTTTTGTTTTGTTTTTTTTTTTTTTTTTTTTTTTTTTTTTTTTGGTTGTTTTTTTTGTTTGTTTGTTTGTTTGTTTGTTTGTTTTTTTGTGTTTTTTTTTGAGCCAGTCTTTCCCTTAGTTGGGTCATAGAGTCTCTAATTACTCCAGTGTGATCAGCATAAAAACAGCATTCTTCTTTCAGGGCAACACAAAGGCCTCCCTGGTGCAAGAACAGGAGGTTTAAGGGAACTGAATTGCAGGGGGATACCTGAAGGTTAAGGGCCCTGAGGTGATGACGTTTTGTAATACTGTTTGATTGTCCCATTTCCCTAGCACCCATTCCCATGGTTGATATTTATACAAACCGCTGGATGATGTTGCTAGCCCTAGAAGCAGAATTACACAAAAACACCGCTGTCTCCCAGCATTCCGTGCTATTGCCCACTGGCGAGCCCATGATACAGCATCTGCAGAAGCAAAGCAATAAAACAAAAACAAAATTACTCTCATCTTTTCCACACAAACCATTTGTAGCAAATGACCTTTGTTTTTTCCCATTCCAAACAGTTTACTTGCCAAGCCACCGATATAAAATTGTTGCGGCGACACTCAGCTTTTATATATACAATAAAGCGAGATAAAACATGCACGCAGTGGTACCAGTTAGTATATTGCTCGACTTCTTCGCTGGTACCATAAGAGTTACTTTCTACATGTCCTGCTGTGTGCAATATACAGGGAAGCCTATGTTGTTGTCGGAGGCAGTGGTCACACCAACGGCAGGATTGTGATTGTCTTCTCCAGACTTGTCGCTGACACTGGTAGCACTGCCAGAGGATCCAAGGGTCACAGGTTCTGCAAATCGGGCATAAGATTTCCGCTTTATACTCTTCTTTTTCTTTCTGCATGTTACAGCAAAACCTAGAAAGACAGACTTAAAATGACACGATTACAAAAGTTAAGGGGGTTTTTTGAGGTCTGGTTTAACCCATCAAGCGGGTACCCACTTGATAGATTCATTTCGCTTAACTGCTGCATATCCTCTCCCTTGGGTAACCAGTTGCCAACCTGAGTCCCATACTCCTTTCTCAGGAAAACGTACTAAAACAGGTGGGCCATTGTCAATGGCTTTTGCTATCCAATGCTTTTCTACTGTTGATTTGGTTTCATCTCCACGAATATAATGATTTAAAGAATAGAGTGCGTGCATTAAAATTTCAGTCTGTTTGAAGTTGGGGATAGTACCACTGTACCCTTCCCCCTCCCCAAGACACTGGATCTTAGTCTTCAGTGTTTGATTTGCACGCTCTACTATAGCTTGTCCTTGGCTATTAGAAGGGATTCCATATAATAATTGTATGCCCCACTTATGTGCCCAATCTTTAGTGGATTGAGCGGTAAAGCAAGAACCATTGTCGGTTTTGATAGTAACAGGAAGACCTAACCAAGCAATGATGGTCGTCCAATGATATTGAGCAGCACGAGCGGTAGCACTTTTATGTTGAGTTGCTACAATGTAACCACTATAGGTATCAACTGTTACTGCGAGCCAAGGTCGTGGCTTGAGCAACGGACAAAGAGTAAAGTCCGTCTGCCATAACTGGTTGGCTTTGAGGCCACGAGGATTAACTCCAGTGCCCCATAGAGATGACCATTGACAGTGAGGGCAAGTGGCTACTACATCTCTCACTGCCGTAATAGGAATGTTGCAGTGTTTGGCTAATGCTTTGGCCCCGATATGTAAGTGGTCATGCACTTCTCGTGCTCGAGCTAGCGTCCATACGCCTTTGGCAGCAGAATCAGCCTTCTCATTGCCTTCTTGGTCGTATCCCAGATGGGATACATGACTTTTTACATGGATAATGGTTACCGTGGTTCTCCTTTTTTGTAAGGCATCTTCCAACATGATGGCTATTGGAGTGCCTGCCCATCCTGGAGTGACCATATTGAGCAGGAGCTTATAAACAAACATGGAGTCCGTAACGATGTTTAGATGCTGTTCAGGCCATAATGTGAGGGCATGAGCTACCGCTAGGGCTTCGAGTTCCTGAGCACCGTTATTTGGTTCAGACAATCTTACGCAATGCCATTCATTATCTGTTTTCCACACTACTACTGCAATATTAGTTAATGAAGAGGCATCTGTGAAGACCGTGGGACCAGGCAGAGGCTCACTCAGAACTCTCCGAGTGAGTGCTGGTTGTAGAAGAGGCAAATGTTTATAAAGCTCTAACGTAGAGCCAAATTGAATGTCTCCAGTGTAGCCTTCTAGAGCTATAGCCATGCAGTCCTGTTTACTGGCTACTTCATCCCATTGTGCCCTCTTTAGCGGCAGCCACAAGCTTTGTGGTTCTATGCCAAAATGCTTGATTGTTGCTGTTCTGCCTTTAATTATGAGTTTGCTTAATGCAGCTATGTATGACATAAATGCAGTAGAAATCTGATTGGAGAGAAGCCACCATAGCACCTTAGGCTTCTCTGGAGTCCCCTGACCTATGACCCCTACCGCACCCTTTTGGGTGACTGCTAGATAAAGATTTATAGGCTGTGTAGGGTCCCATCGGTGATGCTGACACTCAAACAGCAGACACTCAATGCGTCGAAGAGAATGAAGTGCTTCAGCTGCCAGTTGTCGTTTTTCCCAAGGGTGTTTTCCTTTTAAGAGTTCAAAAAGTGGCAAAAGCAGCTCATTTGGTATGCCAATTAGATTGCGTAGCCATTGAATGGAGCCTACTAATTTCTGAACATCATGTAATGTCTTTACCTGTACATTGAATTGGAGTAGCTGGGGCGTCACAGCGCTTTGAGTTATTCTTGTCCCTAGGTAAACCACAGAGTCTCCTCTTTGTGTCTTTGCATCTAGTATATAGAGTCCTGCCTTTGCTAGCTGTTGGACCACCTCTCTTTCCGCAGCGAGTTATTCTTGTCCCTAGGTAAACCACAGTCTCCTCTTTGTGTCTTTGCATCTTGTATATAGAGTCCTGCCTCTGCTAGCTGTTGGACCACCTCTCTTTCCGCAGCATCAACTTGCGTGGAACTTGTTGCTGCTATTAAGAGATCATCCATGTAGTGGATAATAATGGCCTGGGGAAACATCTGCCTGAGGGGTTTTAATACTCTCGCAACAGCTATTTGACAAATTGTGGGTGAATTTTTCATACCCTGTGGTAACACTTTCCACTGATATCTTTGTGCTGGCTCACTCAGATTAAGAAAGGGGACAGTAAAGGCAAAGCGTTCGTGGTCTTGCGACGCCAGTGGGATAGAAAAGAAACAGTCTTTTATATCCATTACTACTACAGGCCAGTCTAGAGGTATTACAGATGGAAGAGGGAGTCCTGGTTGGAGGGCTCCCATGTCCTCCATGCGACTATTTACTTCTCGCAAGTCATGTAATAAGCGGAACTTTGTCTTGTCTTTCTTTTGGATTATAAAAATCGGGGTGTTCCAAGGACTATGACTGTGTTCCAGATGTCCTTGCTCGAGTTCTTTTTGTATAATTTGATGTGCTGCCAATAGTTTTTCTTTAGATAAGGGCCACTGCTCTACCCAGACAGGTTCGTCTGTTTTCCATTTCAGGGGAATTGCATAGCAAACATCGAGCAAGTAGGCAGTGGCCCCTATTCTAAATTTGATAGTCGAAAATGAAATTGAGAAAGCACGTCTTGGCCTAACAGGGGTTCAGCTATATCTGTTACAAAAGGAGTAGCCTTTGCCGTTATCGTTGGCCTCCCTGGATCTTTTAAGTGGAACGTTAGAGGCTGCTGACTGCACAAGGGGTTAGCAGTTCCACCTACTCCCTCTAATCCCCCTGCCGACACCACAGGCCAGGTAGAAGGCCAAAGATGGTGGGGAATGCAAGTAACATCAGCTCCTGTATCAAAGAGCATGAAAAGCGTAATAGATTTGGGTGATGTTCCAGAGGGTCCTTGAATTTGCATCAGGGCTTTCGGTCGTTGGTCACAGTCTAAGACCAAGGCCACCTGGTTTCGTTGGCTGGTCTCGGGGTCTGTTGGGACATAGGAGGCTGGGCTGTCGGAGAGGGGTAGCCTCCATTCACCCGTCTCCGCCCCCCGTTTCCCTGCATCTTACGGCAATCCCGTGCTCGGCGTCTGAGCTTCCCACACGCCCAGCAAGGCCCCGGAGCTTGACTCCCTTGACCCTTATTTCTTGTACATTGGGATCTCATGTGTCCGGATCTTCCGCACCTAAAGCAATTATCGTTGCGGGTTGCTGATTGGGCAGCTACGGCAGCTTGGACTACTTGGGAAATCATAGCCTTAGGAATAGTATTTTCTTGTTGCATAACATATTTAATTAGCTGTCCAAGCGAAGCCTTTTGTGGGGCTGTTCTTAAAATTTCTTTCGTTTGATCATTGGATTGTTGTTTAACACACTACATCATAATAGCTGGTTTGGTATCGTTGGGTAATTCTGCCGCCTCAAGAGCTACTTGTAAGTGGTCGCAAAAGGTTAAAAAGGATTCGGTAAGCCCTTGTCTAATATTAGTCCAGGGTTCAGGATTCTTTTGCATTCTCGCTATGTCATCATATGCTCTTCGAGAGGCCTCAGCAGTAGCATTAAGCTCCCTAGGTCTCAGCGAGGCTGCCTGCTGCTGGGGTGTAATCTGGTTTGGATCAGAGCCTTTAAGGTGTTGAAGTGTCGATCGTCGTAGTGGATGGTTTTGATCATTAGCAGCTGCTGCTAGCATCGATTGTAACCTAGCTGTCCATGCATCTTTCCACATCGTAGCTAACGTGGGTGGAAGGGCCATTCGAGCTAATAAGCGAAGGTCCCATGGCAACATCCCCCCCGCGTGCACTGTGTCTAATAAGGTTTGTGTGATTGCATGCCGTAGCCCATGCTCCTCTATGCTTTTAACTAGCTGTTGTACCGTTTTTGTATCTAATGGAGTCCACTCTATTGCACCCCCTGGAGCTGTACGGACAGGAAAAACCTGTGGTGTTTGAAACTTAAGACCATTAAGCGCACACTCCGTCGCTATGAGTCTCCAATTTGTTAGGGGTATCTCTAGCGAGTGACCTGGACCCTTCCTTTCCAGCCCCTGTAACGGTACCCACTGCTGTTGCATTTCGTTCTCAAGGGCTGTGAGCAGTGCAAACATTTCCGTTATGTCCTTATTAGGAGCGGAATGTTTCCCTTCTGCTCGGGGACGGTTTGCGGTTTCCGCTGTCTTTCCTAACTGTCGCATCTTGGTCGTTAAGCCTTTTAAGGAATCTTCCTCCTCTGAGTCAGAGGAGTTCGAGTCCTCCGACTCGTCCTCCTCTTCCTGCAGTGAAGGCAATGTTCGGCTGGGCTGCTTCCGCCGAGCACCATGTTTTGTTACTTGTGGTGCAGTAACTTTTTCTAGCGGTACATCGTCTTGGTCAGACCATTTTGGCCGAATTAAAGCCCCAGGGATCCAGTCATCAGGATCATCAACAATCATAACACTCTCCTCCTTGATTATCTTTCCTTTTCTATCCTTCCCTCCTCCGTCTATATCCCTCTTTTTTGGTCTGCAAGCGGGATCCTCCACCTCTGTGTTAGAGTCCTTTTCTGCCCCTTGTGCAGCTCGTTCTAATTCGAGCCAGGGGTATTGAGGAGGTGGGTCCGGGGAGGGTGCAGATACAACTGTCAAGTCAGGTGGGTTAGGGGTGACAAGTTTGGGTATAATTTGCGGAGGCTGAATTATCTCCCCTTTTTTTTTTTCTCGATTTACTGGGTATACACCAAGCTCCCCAACCCCAGCTTCTTTGTCAATGGCATCCCCGCTCCCCCCCGATTCTGTGAGGTTAAGCGGGGATATAGTAGTTTCCTTTTCCCCAGCCTCCCCCCGTTCATCAGATGGCTCAGTTTGAGTTGCTATTGCTGCATTCGTATATAACGCTTCTTTAGCTGCCCGCCATGTATCGCGTTCTTCTCGGACCCTTTTTAACAATTTCTGTATCTTTCCCCAGAATTTAAGGTCTTTGGCACTATCAGAACTCATGGCATGTTCAGCTAGGGCAGAAGTGCAGCGTTGCCAGTTGTCAGGAAATAAAATATCCCCTGCACAACTAATCGCTCCTTCTTTCAGGAGCCGCTCGATACAGCTCTTAATAGCTGATTCTTTCATAGAAAGACCCCATTCCCGAGCACACGTTTGTACAACCTTAATTATGGCTTCCATGATCCGGATCCAACTACCGCCAGCGGTCCGCTACCTCAGCATATCACGTCGGGGTCACCAAATGTTGCAGTTGTTGTCCTGCAAATGTCCCGTTCGGCCAAGGTAGCACAGAGGCAACCCCAGCCTCTGGACCAAATGAGCACAGACACCAATGTGGTGGATGGCAAATGGCGTTTATTGATGTGCGACACAGCATTATGTAGCGAGGGTTCGCAACGTCACTTCCGCCTGCTTACATCACAGGCTAAATGCTATTGGCTACTAGGAGAGAGGGGTTTTGTCTTTCCGTACACCACGATATCTTCCGGTCGCCAGACCCTAACTACCACACTCTTCCTTAGTGATAAGTTGCTCTTCACCACCACTTCTAACATCATATTGGAAATACCCTTCATTCAAAATGAAAATACATTTTCTTCAAAATCAGTATAAGCAATTATAATGACAAACTGTAAACTTTAAAATTTGACAGAAGAATATTGATTTGTTTTAGAAATTTTCATTTTGCTTTCAAACAGTTTTTGTAGTATTCTAGGGTTACAGTATTCCAAAATCATAAAATGTACACAAATGAGAAAAATTACAAAAATAATAGTATATCACTGTCATGAATGATCATGATACTAATTGTGACTGATATTTGATTATGCCCCCTATATGCTCTCTGGGCTCAGCCAGAACAAGCCTGTTTCTAGAGTTTATCTACCAATTTGTTCTGTGTTATGGCAGAAGGGAACTGTTTTCAGAGAAGAATTCATTATTATTCAACACAGAAAACAAAAGACTGCAGTTTCATTACGTCTTGTGCACACAACAAATCATACTCTTTATTAAAAAAAAAAAAATTGACTTCTGCTGAATAAATATTTCAGTATCAGCCTTATTAGTTAGGAAGAATAGGTAAGATTTCAGGAATGCAAGTTTTTTGCTCCAGCTGTAGCACTTGAACAAATAAAAGTTTCTACTCATACTTACAAACTTTGTTTCCCTTCATATTTTGATCATCACAGATACATCCCTACAATGCTAGATCATGAAAACTAGAATAGTTCAAATTCCTATATTCTAGTAGCCACCTTTTTTACAGCAGAATATACTTTTACCAATACTTA